TGTACCAAATATCTGCACACTATGGCAGAGAGGATAAGTATATATACTAGAGACTGTAAGGGAGGAGAGTGGACGGTAGAAAGTGGGTGTGAGTGCAAAGGAAAAAACAATAGGCAACAAAAGAAGTTCTCTGTTGAAAATATATATTTGTGTGTGTGTGTAGCATACATTGTGATAGGGACTTTATGTAAATTGTTCAATTAATCTGAAAATTAAAAAAAAGAAAATAGAAAAAGAAAAATCCTCTCATTTAATAAGCATTTATGTTTGCTGTCTCATTCTACAGATGGAGGTCTCACTACAAGCCAGACAGATAGAACAGTAAGCAAAAATTGTCAGTCTCTGCCCTCATGTAGCTTAAAATCTAGTGGAAGAAGAGGAAAATGATAAAGACATGATAAACAGTTCTTATATGACGAACATATCTACATGCCATCTCTACACTGACATTCCTCAAATGTGTATTTCCAACCTATGCTGGAAACACATGCTGGTCAATACTGTGTAAATCGACATTCCCCTTTGATGTTTAAAAGATATGTAAAATTAAAACGTGTTCAAAGATGAACTGTTCTTGCCTCAATTCTGTTCCTCCAGCCTTTCTCTACAGCTGCATTGTACACCATCTTTTTTCTTTTAAGAGAGATTTTTGCTACAGGATGTGTGTGCTCATAGGACAGACAGAGAGACAGAAAGTGAGAAATCATTCCCCAGGAGGACGATGGCCACACCTCTATTCTCCTCTCAGGATCTTGGGTACACACAGACAAGTGCCTGGCAGGAGTTTTAAGTCGCAGGGTCTGGGACTGGAACCAGTAAACTATGTGGGAGTTGAACAAAGTAACTATTACGCCATCTGCTGGTCCTAATCTTTTCACTTTTTAACTCTAAATGAAAATTCATTTATCAGAGAAGAGGAGGATAGATTTGGCAATAACCAGCAATCTCTCCTACTACCACATTCCTTTTTCAAATAGAAGCAGTCTAATCTGGCGAAATTACTGATCCTTGGATTTGGAGACAAAAATGCTTAACAGGTTTCTTTGACTTTGTTAGGTATCTTATAATCAAATGTACTGATAAATGGAGTCAGAGACTATCAAAATCATTTCCAGTGGGAGAAGGATCCAAGTTTCAAGACAAATATATCAAAATGTCTAGCCCAGCAACTTCCTGAGTTATCACCTGGGTGAGGTGTTGGAGGAGTTAACAGTTTTATTGCCCAAAGTCAGGCAGCAATGTCAAAACTCCTAATACAAGTTCCAGCTGACTAAATACAATGAAGCATTCTCAGCACAATACAGAAAATCTTCAGAAGTAGTAGTTTTGATTCCACCAAATACATCACCATGGGCCTAAAACTTTCTTATTAATCTACTTGTTGAAGCTCTTCATTCCACTGGGTTGTCAGAAAAGTCATGACATACATTGTTTTTCAAAGGTCATTTATTTATATAAAGAATAAAGATCAATCAATGATATATTGTCCATTTTGCTTGATAACCGTTTGCCATCTTTCAGTAAGCTTCATAATTCCTCATTCATAGAAGGACCTGTCTTTAACGGCGAAAAACTGAACAAGGTGCTGAATTATGGCCTTATCTGAATTTAGTATACCATGCAAGGAGTTTTAAGGAGAGTAAAACAAGTGGAGTAAAACAAGTAAAACAAGGTCAGAAGAGTACAGTGGGTTTGGCAACACATCCCATCCAAGCTCCAATCATTTTTGAGGGATGATCAAACTTGTGCATAGTCTTGAGTTCTCATGATGGAACAACAGCTCCTTTAAGATCAACAAGCTCTAGACGTTTCTGGATAATGGATTCATTCAAACTGTCCAATTGCCAACAGTATTCTAATTGATTGGTTGGTTCCTTGGTAGGAGCTGGAAAAACATGATACCTTTAAAATCCCACCACACTGAGAGCATAACCTTCCTCTGATGAGTGTCTGCTTTCAATGTTACTTGAGGCAAATCATTATGTTGGGATTAAAGACTGTTTGGGCACCAGACTGTTGTAAATAATCCACTTTTCACCACCAGTTATCAGTCACTTCCAAAAAGAATAATTTTCCTCACATTTAATGAACATATCACAGATGTTTGTATGTGCTGTCAAGTGAACTTCTTTGAGCTCATGAGGAACCCAAATATCTACCTGATTTATGTATCCCAGCTTCTTCAGGTGTTTGTTAACACTTAAATGATGGATGTTCAATGTTTCTACAATTTCTCCTGTTGTGTGAAGTGAGTTTGACGTGATCAATGCCTTTACATTGCCATTATCATCCTCGACAGGCCTCCCTGACCAAGGAGTGTTGTTAAGATCAAAATTACAGCACAGAACTTGGTGAACCATCATTGGCACTCATGTTTTTGTAGAGCACTGTAACCATAAACTTCATGCAACTTTTCAAAAGTTTAACTCATATTCTTCCCTTTACAGAAATAAAACTGTAAAATATGGTGAAAATGTAGAGTTTGGTTTTCCATCTTCAACTTGTAAAATCTCCAAAAGTCAACCAAATCACTTAATTTTTTTTTGACTGAACCTAGAACTGTCAGCTGTCAAATGACATAGCAAAAAATATAGATGCAAATGACTTCCAAAAATGAGCCAGTGCTACCTGTTGCAAAAATATGTAATGACTTTCCCAACAACCCAATAGATTTGTTTGGTGCTGTCTTTGTATTCAAGCCTTATTTCCAGAAGAAAGGCAGACATGATTCACTTGTAATTTCATCATCATGCACCTCGGATGATATTCTGTATGTATGGCAGCCCTAGGAGTTGTGCAACACAATCATAACTTCCCATCTCAGAGAATACCAACTACATGCCTCTACAGTCAGGTTAAAAACCTTGGCATCATCCTGACTCCCCTTGGATACACAGCATCTGGTAACTTCTATTTCTTCCATTCTCATCCTGATTTAAGTCACCTTTATCTCTCGCCCAATCTGCTAGATTCAGTCCTTGGTACCACCCATGGCCCTCACCTCTAATATTTACATTCCCACATATCCTAGGCAGCAGCCAGAAAGAGCTACTTAAAACCTAAGACAGGAAACGTCATTCCTCAGTTCAAACCCTCCTACAGTTTCCTATCATTTTCAGAATAATGGACTTACTAGATCCATACCATTTAACCCTCACTCTACATCTCATCTTCCCAATCTCTTCCTCTCCTGCTCACCCACTGCAGCTCAAGGGCCTTTGCACTAGCTGTTTCCTCTGCCTAGAAAAATAGTTTCCCCAAACCCTCTTATGGCTTGCTCTTTCCTTCCTTCAAGTCTTGGCTCAGCCATCACCTGCCTTCCCAATCATCCTGTCTAAAACTGTAACTCCCACTACCCTCATTCCCTATCTTTTAATCCCTGCTTTATGTTTTTCAAGACACTGTCTAGCCTAACTCACTCAAATGTAAGATCCACGCGGGCAAGAATTTTAGCTTTCGTTTACTGCTGTATTTCCAGTAACGGAACCAATGCCTGTCCTATCGTAAGTACTCACTAAGTATTTGTTGAATCACAACACAAATGTTGAAGTACAACCAAGCCCAGTAAGTAAATAAATAATTCTAAAAAGAAAAAAAAAAAAGATGAATAAGTATAGTTGCTTGGAGAGCCTGTAGAAAGACAAAGAAGCTTACCTGAAAAAAGTCAAACTTGATCTGATAACGGAAATATGAATAGGAGTGAACCAGGATGCACATAGGCTCACTAGTGAGAGGTACTAAAAGGTTAGTCTAGTTAGACCAGAAAGAGGCAGAAAGGGTGTGAGATGAGGTTGGAAAAGGTAGGAAGGGACCAGAAGTTAGTGTAATGGCTATGTCGCTGGACTCCCATGTAATTGACCACAGTTCGAGTCCCAGACCCGGTGGCTCAAACTCACGCCAGGCGCATATGTGTGTGTGCCCAAGATCCCAAGAGGAGAATGGAGGAGAAGGGATTGCGATGTGGCCACCCTCCCCCCCCCGCCCCCGGGGGGGAGTGTTTTCTCACTTTCTATCTCTGTCTCTCTATTGTCTTTCTCTAAGCTTGTATAGAATGCAAAGAACACCCTATGATTTGTTTTCAAAAGAACTAGAGAAGTATCTACCTTATGGTACTTTGATTCAGGGTACAAGATTATATTCTTACTTGATAAGAGTGAAAATGGCATCAGTTTTCAGAGTCTGGAACACATTTCCAACACTTAGCTAGCTATCAGAGAAAACTGTTATTTTGTTTCCTTCATGAGTGAAATGGAGATAATACTATACTTTGTTATGAAAACAACAGGAAAACTACACACACACACAAAGTGTATATATAGTAAGTAAAGGATAATGTTAGTCCTCCTTGTTTTTTAAATTTTATTTCTTTCAAGAGAAAGATGGAGGGAGTGAGTAAGGCACTCTCTCTACAGGATCTGTCATACTGTGTTCCAGTTCTCCTATTCCTCCAGGCTACTCAGGATCCTGTGTGCAGTAACTGGGGATATGAACTCATGGTAAGCCATGTGGCTTCCAGCACTGCAGATTAGCACATTACCTGAACCATACTGACAGGGTGCCCTTCTTTTTATTAAAAACAATGTGGTACTTCCTCTTTTTTCATCTACCCAAAAATGTCAATACACGGTCATATTGTAAAGTAAAAAATAAATGAAAAAAGGAAAAGATTATTGGAAAGCTATAAAACTCAATTTCTAATTTCCATCCTCTGATTAAAAAGATTCATAGCCATGGATAAATCATTCAACTTCTTAATTTCTCTCTCTAGTAAAGTAATGAAGACAAATCAACCAAAATGATTCAAAGAGTCTCACTTATGACTCAATGATGTCTGCTCCATGACTCTCAGGCATGAATAATATATATACAACTTAAATCAATAGCTTTAAACATCTTCAACTAATATGAAATATAATTTGACATATTTAAGACTTCTTAACTAGGGATACTGTGACTGATCACTTTCCACATTTAAAAGGACTGTTCTTAAAACTACTTACATCGGGTTGAATAGCTTTAAACACTGGAACATCCATTAGTGTAATTTGCCCCTGAAAGAGAAAGCAAAAAAAAAAAAAAAAAAAAGATAATTTCTTCTTTGGAATTTCATGAGATAAAATACATTCTAAATTAAAATTCTCTTTGTGTATTGAAATATAGCTTAATACTTAATTTTATAGTGGCTTACAGAAAATGAAAATTTAGTTCTTATACAATTAAATACATTATATCTTTCTCATGTCTATTTAGTCTTTTCTTGGGAGACAAATGAGGAAGAGTTAGTGGCTCAGCCATGTCAGTGCAAGTAGTAGGGCACAGCTGTGTGAGGCTGGGACCACATGCAAGGCCTGGGATAGGATCCCAGACAAACTTGAATAGGCCAGTGTGGTGGCATGAACCTGTAATAAAGTCAACTACGTGGTTGGGGCATAGGACTGCAACAACAATCTTTATCTCTCCCCCTTTACCTCCTACTTGTATTCTCTCTCTCACGAGAGAGAGATTGAGTTAAAAAATAAAATTTAAATTCTTAAAAATTCAGACACAGGGACCAGCAGATAGTCTAATGGTTACAATGCTGGACTCCCATGCTGTTAACTGTGGTTAAAGTCTTGGACCCAGCAGCTCAAAACTCACGAAGGGTGTATATGCATGCATGAACAAAATCCCGAGAGGAGAATGGAGAAGAGATTGTAGGTGGCCACACCCCCTAGGGGATGATTACTCACTCTCTCTCTGAACCTCTTGCTGTCTCTTTAGCAAGCACATGGGCCCTATAGCAAAAATATCTCTTAAAAAAAAAATTGGGGGCCAGCAGGTGGTGTGATAGTTAAGGGTGCTGGACTCCCACATGGTTGACTGGTCTGAGTCTCAGACCTGGTAGCTTGCTTTCTCACTTTCTCTCTCTAGTCAAATTAAAAACAAATAATTAAATAAGTAAACATTAAATAATTCTTAAAAAAAAATTGGACATAGTCATACATTAAATCAAAACAAAAATCAAATTTACTCGCTCATGGAACAGTGTTATTATAATGATGAAACTGCAGCTCCTAAAATCATAATGCAAAACCTGATATATTTTCTTTTTAACTTAAAAAAAAAGTGGTAATAAGACCATGCCTAACACAATATACAATATCTAAAGACTTTATGTGCTATGGACCTATCTCACTTATGGCTGTAGCTACAAAACAAAATTCAATATATCAAATAATGATATATATGACCAACTAGAGTTTATTCTTGGATACAAAAGTAGTTCAAACTTAGGAACTCAATATAGTCTGTTAACAAAAGAAAGGAGAATAAGAAAATAAATGGATACTTATGTCAGTAAGGTTTTTCTAGATACCTTTCATAATATGGCATGATGCCTTCATTATTTCATTTTATAATTTTTTTAATTTATACAATAGTAAAAATACTTTTAAAAGATATAGTAAAGTATAGTTGACTTGGGGAAATGGTATAGGTAGAAGCAAAAGCAATTACCACAAAGGTAAATACTTATTATAACTTACTAAATTGAAGGTGTAATTTATGAAGCTACCCTAAAAACAACTCTAATTCTTTTTCCCCACTCCACCTCATCCCTCTGCTTGCTCTATAACTGTGCTTCTCTCCCCCAAAATTCCTATACCCAGTTTTTTATTTTTACCATCTCCTGCTGGGCCTACAAAATCTAATTCAATACACCAATATGCAAATTACATGCAAATACTGGAGAAGGGACAGGCAGAAAGCTTACCGCATATTCTTCTGGTGTGACCTTAAGAACATCAAATACCACAGCATCAAAGCTTTTCTTCAGTTCAGAACCTTTGTCACTTAATGATTCAGAGCTGCTACTTTTCTGTTAAATTCAAAGAGAACACAGCCATTTTAATATTGTCATCATCAATGTCATGGAAACTAGACTGGTCTAAAAAACTGAGAAAACTAACGGTTGATTAACAATATAGAAAAGTGGAGCGGAACATGCTTAGATGGAAGAATGGTAGATAAAGTGTCAGGTAGTTTGAAACTTAACCTCAATTTTAGCCATTTATGCTCTTGAGTAATTTTCTTCTGTATCATTTTTCTCCTCCGGACATTCTATCATTTTCTACTGAAATACAAGATTTTAACTATGGCCAAACTCTGTGGTGCAGTTGGTAAGGAGCTGGACTGCAATGCCATATGCCACGAGGCCAACTGCATTTGTAGATCCCATTCTCAGATGACTTGAAACACACAGGGCACACATGCATGTCGAAGACCCTGACTAGTTAAAAGTCTGGAAGAAAGGGGCTGCAGAGTCACAAAACCCTATCAAAAGTGCTTTTTTCTCTCTTCCTGCACATGTGCATACTCTCTAAGGCTAATAAAATAAATAAACTTTAAAAAGAGTTTAATTATTTCAATAATTCTCAAATGGGGTTTAAAAAAACAGGAGAGAAGGATATATATATCTATTTATAATTTTAAAATTAATTTTTATTGAGAAAAAGGCAAATCACTTCTATAATATGAATTACAAAAACTCTATTAGTTAAAAAGTATTACATCCATCACTGATCCATTCTTTTAAGCTTTTGCTATAGGGAGCATGCACTAACTGGAGAGAGAAAAGGAGAGGAGTGAAAAATCAGCCCCTGGAGAGGATGACCATGACACAATCCTTTCTCCTCCATCTCCTCTTGGGATTTTGGGTATGCATATAAAGGTGCCCAGCACAACTTTTCAAGCTGACAGATCTGGGATGCAAACCAGAGTCGAATATGTGGAATCCAGTGCCTTAACCTCCATGCCATCTGCTGGCCCTAGATCCATTCTGATGTGTTATGTGCTGTCTGTCTGTGTCCATAGTAGAATGATAATGCTCTTCCCATTATATTATAAATTAAAGTGCTTTCTTATTTAAGGTTAGCATTTTAAGTTTGAATATACTATTGCTACTGTAGAACAAACCATGGTTTTTGGCCCTGAAATTAGTATTAAATTTCCACTCATCTGTGCCATGACATACAAATATATTCTTTATCAGTTGGCTGAAATCAAACAATTTTTAGTATAAGAATATTTAGACCAGGCTTATTAAATGTAGTAGGATATCAGGCTATAGTTAAGAGCAGAAAAAAATTAACTATAGTTTCAATTACACAGGTCAATTCACCAGCTGTTAAATAACAGTTTTAAACACTTATAAATATGCCTCATTTTTACTTTTCCCCATTTCAGTAAAAGCTAAATATCAAGTACCGAGTCACAATAATAACAAAGGAAAAGATTGGTCATTAATTTTGGAAAATTCTCAGCCATTATTCAATATTTCTTCTGTTCCCTTCTCTTTCTCATATTCCCACTATGTGTATTTCTGTCACTGCCCTTACTGTTGTTTTTGTTTTTGTTTTTTTTCTATTTGTGCTCAATTTTCTCATTGCATTTCAGTTTGGGAAGGTTTTACCAACATATATGCAAGGTCATTGGCTCTTTCCTGGGTTTTTTACTGGTCACTAATCTACTGGTGAGCTCATCAGAGGCATCTTTATTTCTGGTCATTCAAAACAGTTTTTGAATTCTAGTTTTTTTGTTTGTTTGCTTGTTCCCCCCCCCCAAGAGTTTCAGTATCTCTGCTTATAAAATTATTTATTTGTTCCTACATGTCCATTTTTTCATTAGAGCCCTTAGCATATTAATGATTACTTTAATTCCTAATCCAGTAATTCCAAAATCTCTGCCATATCTGAGTCTGGCTCTGTTGAATGATTTATCTCTTTAAAAGGATTTCTCTTGCCTTTTAGTATGCCTTGTGATTTTCTGCTAAAGCCAGAAATAATATAATAGACAATAGAAATTGAGATTAAACAGGCCTTTGAGTGTAAGGATTTATGTTTATCATGCTAGGAGGTCTGCTGTGTTTATAGTATGGTGTTGCTATAAGGTTCTGAATCTTCAATTTCCTCTAGTATGTATGTTTGTTTTTTCCCCCGTTGTCTTTGGGTTTCCATAGAAACTCCTCCTCAGAGTGTGACTCTGCAGTTCTTTCAGCTATAACCCCCTGTTTTTATACAGGAGTTCACTGATGTGGTAGTAAGGAACAGGGAGAGGGGTAGCCTTTTACATTCCTATAATTAGGTTTCAGTCTTTTAGAGAGCCTGTATCCCTGAACTGTGATCTTCACAAATGCTTCTCAGTCCTCTCCCTCTGCTTAGGTGAGACAGGGAGGATAGTTCAGTATTTATTTCTTTTTCCAATTAGGCTAGGCTCTGGTTTAGTTCAGTCATATACCATGTTAACATTTCAGTCAACAATGAACCATATACATGAGGGGATTTCAAAAAGTTCGTTTGGGCCAGCCCTATAGTGCAATGGTTAAGCACTATACAGAGGAAGTCAGAACCCACATGGCAGACCAGAGTTTGAGTCTCAGCTCCAGTGGCTTGAAAACATGCCAAAAATGCTGGGCACACATGTGAGTGCCTAGGAATCATGACTGGATGGAGAACTGGAAGATAAAAGCACTGCCAAGTGACCAAGCCCCACTGTGTGGATGCTTGTGCATATGCAGTCTCTCCCCTCCTTCCCATCTTCTGATGCACGTGCACGTGTTCTTTGGCATTTACACACACACACACAAAGTAGCCAGTCCCCTAGCATAGCAGTTAAGCAAACCAGATTTCACATGACCAACTATGGCTTGAACCCCAGCCCCAGCAAGTTTTTCAACTTGCCAGCCACAAGCATATATCTGCCCCCAATCCCAACAGAATAGCGAAATGGAGCAGAATGGATTGTGGTAGGACCACCACATCCCTACTGAGGGATGTCCTCTCCCTCCCCCTCTTTCTCTCTTTGGTAAGCACATATGCCCTCCGGCTATTAAAGTTTGTTTAATTCTGTTAAGGTGGTGCACTCTCTTACTGCAGTGAGCACAAAAATAAACTTGTGTTTAAAAAAGTTCATGGGATAATGCATTAAAAGACTGAAAAATACAAATTTTATTTCTCAGCAGAATGGAGAAGGGATTACAGCATGGCCATCTCCTTTCTTGCTTTCCAACTGTGTCTCTCTGGTGAGTGCACACACCCTATAGCAAAAATCTCTCAAAGGAAAAAAAAAATTAGCTAACAAAAAGTCAGAATGAGCCAAATCAGGACTTCATGACAGATGCCTAATAATTCCTCATCAAAATTCTCACAAAACTGACTTTGATGCTAAAGCATCAGCTAAAATTCTCGAAGCACTCTAATAAGCAGATGTCAATGTTTTTTAGTCCTCCAGAAGGTCAATGGGCAAAATATGTTGGGCATCCCCAAAAACACTGTTGCCAGAACCTTTGCTCTTGAGTGGTCTGCTTTTGCTTTGACTAGTTGCTTTGCTGGTGCTTTGTATTGCTGAACAATGTGTTTGTGTTTCAAGCTGTTATAAAAAAACAAAACCTTTAAGACATTATGCCTATGAAAGTAAAAAATTATACTAAAGTTAACTGTTAGTGGGAAAAAAAATTCTTTTGGGAGATTATTGCTATTTGGTGCATGTGCTCGTCAGAAAGACAGAAACAGACAGAAAGTAAGAGGTCTATCCCCCAGGGAGGATGGCCCCACTGCACTCCCTTCTTCATTCTCCTCTTGGGATTTTGGGCGCGCACGCACACACACACGCTCAGTCCGAGTTTCAAGCTGCCAGGTCTGGGACTCAAACCGCAGTTGACCATGTGGAAATCCAATGCCTTAACCACTACACCACCTGCTGGCCCCAAAGAAAAATATTTTTGTATATTTAGTGTAGTAGCCTAAGCATACAGTGTTTACATTCTACAGTACTATATGATAATATTCTACGCCTTCATATTCTCTCATTACTACTTGCTAAGTCACCCACAGTAACCTTCCATCCCTTCAAGCTCCACACATGGTAAGTGCCCTACAGAGGTATACCATTTTTTTCTTTTAATTGTATTTTTACTGTACCTTTTCTTTGTTTAGATATGTTTAGATACATACTTATCATCATGTTATAGTTGCCTACAGTATTCAATACTACAACATATTGGTTCTTAGACTAGGAGCAATAGGGTATAACCTATATGCCTATATGTACAACGGGCCAGACCAGCAGCCTCCAACTTACCCAGCACCAGGGACTGGCATCATGGAAGACAATCCCTCATAGGGTGGTGGTGGTGCACGGGTATTTGGTCACAGGATGACCCAGCGTACCACATCCACCATGCACCCCATTTCCACCACTACCACATTGCAAGATACAATTAAACAATCACACAACAATAGGGTTTGCACTCCCATGAGAATCCAATACATCCAGTGATCTGCCCAGGCAGCAATGCAAGCAATGGGGAGTGGCTGCAAATAGAGACAAGGCATCACTCTTGCTTGCTGCCCACCCCCAAATGCATAGACCGGCCAGCCAGCTCAGGAAGGGGACCCCTGGGCTAGATCATCTAGGTCTGTATAAGTATAATCTATGATGTTTACATAACAAAATCACTTAAACATATGATCCTTGGAAAGCACCCCAGTTGTTAAACAACACAGATCTGTGGTTTGTCTTGAGGGTAGGTACAGAACAGAATATGGTGGGTATATTTCAAAAACAATTACTCCGAGGGTATTTCCTTCCCTAACCCATTGGTAGAGGCAGAAGGGTTTTCTTTCCTTCTTCTGGATCTCCTCTGTGAGACCCTGGTAGGCATCCTAGAGACAATGAAACTCCTAGCAGCTGGGGGTGAGAGGAGCATTCTTCCTGTTGCAAGACAGGAATGATGAATTGCAAGCATGTTACAAATCCAAACAAAAACCTAAGCCACATAAGTGAAATGGGAGAATTTAACTTCATTAATTTATTGGGGCA